AATTTTTGCCCAGATACTTTAATGTAATTTAAATAGATTATTAGTTGTCAGGATCTAATATAAATTTTGTTTATGATTTAGTTACTTTAAGTACTCGGATTGAAGAAACTAATTTAACCCCATGACTACATGGCTTTAAGCTCAAGACGAAATCACTAAAAAGCTTCTGCACACTTTTGCACTTTCTCAACAATCTTAAATTACTACAACTTAATTGCAGATATCCAGACACAAAATTAAGCCTCCTTTCCCCTGTTTTTGTTTTTTTTTTTAAACAAAATAGCTTAGGGAGGGTCTTCAGGAAAAATCCATTTATATTTATTCGGGTACAGGGTTCTTCCCTCCCAATAGCTAGCTAGGTAGGAAATGCTTCTCTCATTTTAAATCCCATAAAACAACTACCAAACAAACACCTGTTGTGCACAAGGTAGGGCACATATTAAAAACTGGCGTCAGGGGATTTCAAAAAGAAAAACAAGCCTTGCAGAGACCTCCACAAGCTGATTTGGTCAACAGATTTCATGACTGAGTACAACAGTGTAAGGAAAAGGGTACCACTCCCAGCACAACCTCCCCATGAATGGGAGCTGGCTTCTAAATAAGGACCGAAAAATGCCTTAGCACAAACGGACTGTCATTAACAAGAATAATTTATTAAAGAAACAATTGTCTTTCCCGCCTGCTATGCACTTCACCCCACTGCACTTCCTCTTTCCAGAATACCAGCCTTGTAGCCTTAATTGCAAGAACATTATCTATGGGATGCAAAACCAAAGCCTTTCTTGAAATCAAACACCCCCTACAACATTTTTTTTTAGGGTGGCGACACAAGCCAGATCTGCTTAATTTCCATTAACCACATCATCATACTCACACTGAAATAAACTATGTAGATCAAGGGGCAAAAAGAAAGCCAACACGGTCAGGCATAAGATACCCCATATTTGGTCGGGTTTTCCCATTTCAGGAATTTGTCTCATCTCATGGCTTGCTGATGGTCTAGCTTTTGGCACCTCTAACCTTAATTCACCCAAGTACCATGGAAGACAAATATTTGTAAAAAGCACTGTAAGAAGGCTCCTTGGACAGCACCCATACGGCAAAGGGGCCTGGAGACGGGTGTAACAAATCACAAGAAAGATCATTCAGAAAATTCATAGGTCCAATTGCAAACTTAATTGGCTTGCTGGCTTGACTCACAAATGCCGTGTTTGATCACCTGGTGGGATTACGACCATCAACTAAAGAGGAAAAAAACCTCCCCTGTAAATAGTAAAAGTCTATGTTGGCTCATGTATAAAGTTCACCTGTCTATTCAGCAGATGCCTCTCTTAAGGTTATTGTCTTTAGAAAACAAACCCCTACTTGCTTAAGACCTTCATATACTCTAGGTCCAAAAAGACATACTTAGAAAGAAAAAAAAAGGCAATACTGCTGGCTTAGCAAAAACGGCATTGATTATGATGGAATTCTATAAAAGGAGTATGACACCTAACAGTGTAAGAAAGAGCCCTTAGCAAAAAAAAAAAAAAATTGAAAAATTGAAAAACAAAAATACCACCTGTACAAATCTAGCTACACTCTGGAAACCCTTTCTCAGTCACAGAAAAACAGCTCGTGCTCAGTGCCTTGAAGTTGCAATTAAATTGTAGTAATTTAAGATTATCGGGAGAGCAAAGGGCAGTAGGAGCTCTTTGGAGGGCCTCCCTCCCCACTTAATGCTCTTCAGTCAGGGGTTAAATGAGTTTCTTTAATGTAAGTACCTTAAAGTAACTGAATCATAAACAAAATTTATACTGTTTTCTGACAGCCTGCAATCTATTTAAATTTTATTAACATGTGCCTAAAATTATTTTTAAAAGACAGAACCCTTCCAGTGCCCTGTAAATATTCTTGGCATACCTAGTGAAATATCAGTGGTACTACAACACCCAGCATTGTCTGAATTCACCTATTTTTTTGTGATTTAGCATCTTACAAGATAACATTTCAAAACTGAGTTAGAGTCTTAAGTGAAACAAGAAAACTAAACAGCACAACAAGATTGGCTACAAAGGGGAAGCTGGGTTCAAAAGAAGTTGTCACATCTGCTATATTCTCCATTCTCTTTCTTAATGTTGGCACTGGACATGCTGTGGTATAAACACATTTGCTTAGGAAATATGACAATTCTGTTAAATTGCTCAAAAGAGACATACCTTCAATAGAGCCTAAGAACACAAACACACAAGGTCAGGGTAGAGTATTAAGCAAGGAAAAACTTAGTAACAGAAAACCTTGCCTAGGCTCAATATTAACCCAGCTAACTTTTTGTTATTGTTGCTACAAATGATTTAACTAGAAAATATTTATAGTTTTAAAAAACATTACATATTGCACTAAATTGCCTAATAGCTTCCATGTGTATGTTTAACTTGCATTGTTTAATTATACAATAAAAGGTATATCCAATAAAAAGCTACAGACTTTGAAACATGTTGGGAACTTCGGTTATGAAATTCTGACTTACAATAAAACAAAGTTCTTACTATATGATCGACATTTGTTAATTAAAAACGCAGTCCTTAAATGACGATCATTTTTATTCTTCTGTATGTGTTTAGTTGTCCTATTTCCCACTTTGTTCTACTTAATTAAAAATGACATTTAATTTGGGGATAGTTTATAGCAAAAGAAAAAAAGTGTTACACAGTTTATACTCTAGGATTTAATATAAACATAGTATATTGGATCTCCAACAATAAAACCCCCTTAATTTGAGGCAGTTAATTTGAATAGTTCATTTTTCTTTCATTACACTTTGATAAACCTAATGAAACAAAATGCTAAATTGCTGTTACTACTTGCTTTAAAAATGTAAAGCAGTTAAATTTTCCTAGACAACAAGCAAGAACAAGTTAGAGAACTTGAATAAAAGTAGCAACGTGGTCATGTTGAATGTCAATCTATAAAAAGAGGTTATGTCTAATCTGGAGAATGCTCTCTCTCGCCTTTTTAAATTCCAAGAGTGGGCTGACACAAAACTTCATCACCAGGGATTTTTTTTTTTTTTTTTTGAGCTTCACATCAGATTTAAACCCTCACATACAAAACCTTGGCTTCCCTGACAAGGCAGATCTTCTAAACTTGATGTGAGAAAACGTTATCTAACTCTAGTGTAGGAGTCTAATGTTGGTAAAAAGAATTCCACTGCACAGCTCTGGGGAGCGAGACAGCCTCTGGAAGACTTAATATTCTTTTAATACCTTTTTGGGTGCATTCTTTTCATCAACAGAAATGCATTAAAAAATAGCTTGTTTGGCAACTCAACATCCATCAGGAACTCAAATGCTGCCTAGAGAAGGGCTGAATGTTGCCTTCCAAGTGAGTCTCAGCTTGCAGAACAAAGATCAGCATTTGCAATGGTCCATTTCTGCATTAGGGAATATGTAACTTTGCTGCTTGATCGAATAGTCCAGGGTTCTCCATCTAGAGCTCCTGACCTCCCAGCAGCAGTTCTGTTTGATCTCTACTGCTTCCTTAATTTGGGTTGTCAAGGTTCAGCAGTTGAAGGCTGTTTACTTACCCACCCACCTACCCCCCTCCAAAAAAAAAACCTGATTTTTTTTCTCTCTTTCATACAATGACTAATCCAAAGTCTACGGGGTGGGGGGGATGCATCCAGTTGGAAGATATTAAACCTTTTTCTCCCCCTTTCCCCCTTCCCAGGGAGATTTTAGCTGACATCTTTTGAATGGTAACTAGTTATGCTCCTCCTTTATATTTTTAATGCTCTTGAATTATGAGACATTTCAGAGAGAAAAGCCAAAGAGGAAGAAAGAAAAACCATTCCAAATCTCGGAAACTGTTAAGCCCAATTTTCTTTTTCTGGACTCAAAGAGATGGGTATTTCCACTTGGAGAATCAAAACTCTAGTAGAATTCTAAAAAAGGTTTGATACATCTCTCTCTGGAACTGAATTAACAGGAACTCCTCTGTCTCAGTTATGTAGGCTAACCCTGGATACAGAACACCTGAAGTCTTACCATTTCACATTCTAGTTAAGACATCGCCCCCAAAAATGATTCTTACTGTGGAGAAAAGGAGAGTGGGGGAAATGGAAGGTAGTAATTTTGCAAAGATTCTTCAAGTATATTTTTCAGCGGTAGAAAAATCCCTTAAATATCATTTAGATTTTTCTCAACTCAGCTATTGTGTAAACCCTCAATCCTGATGCCTACGGACGACCAAAGAGAAAGTGTGGACAGTTTCATTGCACAGACTCCTTTTGAAGGGGATACAGAATGCCCCTCCAACATTCCTAGTTAAAGAGCAGTAACAAAAAAGGAAATCCGAACTTAGGAAATACCTGTGACCAGACAGGAGATCGACACCAGCCCCTGACGAGTGGGCTGGTGAAGCTCACAGGCAAACCAAATGAAATGTTTATATTAATTTCATTATTCTGCCCAAGCCTCACAGATGAGGGCGGGAGTGGCGGGGCTGGGGGGACTGGGGGAGGGCGGGGTGTTGGAATGAGAAAGAAAGAAGTTTCCTTTCGGGTTTTCTGGTCGAGCAAAAGGAAAGTGAATTAAAATGAATGCGTAGGATGAGCCCAGACTAAATCAATATACTTTGTAATCAGCCCGGCCAGGGTATTTGGACACAATGACTTGGAAATAATTAATAGTTATAAGGGGGGAGTGGGGTGAGCCGGGGGGGAGGCGGTGAGGGATGTCACTATATTTTATCGGAGCACTTTACACTTCACGCTAAACTTTGATCTCCAGATCTTGGGATTTAGGAAAGAAAGGGGGTGAGGGGAGAGAAAGTCCAGCATTTCGAAGCACCTACCAGCTTGAGGATGGGCACATTCCTGCCTCCGAGGGCCTTATCTCTGCGCTCAGCCTCCCGTGCTGGCGCTTTAGGCAGAGAGAGCCCCCGGGTGCAGCCGGGGACCCCAGGGTGTCCCTGGCCCCCGCCCGCGTCCTCGCCCCGCGCCGGCGGCCGCCTTGACTTACCCGCCGAGTCCTCCCGTCACGCCCGCGGAGGAGGCGCCGGCAGCACCAGGGCCCCGGCGCCGCGGCCGCTGCCCCTTGCCCGCTGGCTCGCCGCGCGCTCTCTTCTTCCTCGTGCAAACTTTCGGGTTCTGCGGTCGACAAGAAACCGGGTCGACCCTCAGCGAGTCTTCCCGGCGCAGGTTGGGGGGGCCTGAGGCGGGTGGGATAAGACAGGAGGCTGCGGGGCCGGGGCAGAGCCGGCGGCGGGCTCGGAGGCGCGGCGAGCGCGGGCGGAGGGGAGAGGATGTGGCTCAGGGAATCCCTGCAAGGATCCCGGCCGGGAAATCGGCCCGAGCCAGAGTCTCGGCACCTTCCCCGGGATCTCACAAAGTTGCCACAACACAGAGAGGAGGGGGGAGCGAAGGGGGAAGGGGGTGGGAGAGGGAGACGACCGCAGGCGCTAAGGTTTGAAGTTACAACTGTTTATTTAGTCCTTATTCTCACAGGGGGGCGGGAGCTGCGCGGGAATCGGGGTGGGGTGGGGGGGCTGCCGGCGGCGATTTCGCAGCAAACACAGGGGGGTACGTGCGACTTTGTTTCTGGGCGCGGAGCTCCCCGGCGCCCGCGTGTGTCACCGCCAGTCTCCGGGGACTGAGGCGGAGCTCACAACAGGTGGGGAGGGGGACTCGCCGAGGGCCAAAAAGGAGAAGGAATCAAAGTTTCCGAGCGTGGCGGGGTCTGGGGAGGAGGGGGCGGGGGGCGGGGGCGGGGGGGCGGAGGCAGCGAATGACCGCGACCCCGCGGCAGCTGGCAAACTCCTCGGCTCCCGGCGCCGCCGCCGCGGTCCCCGCCCGGAGCGCACGCAGTCCCGGCCCGCCGACTCCGCCGAGCCTTCTCTGCGGGACGGCGACGGCGCGCGCGGAGCTCGGGAGGGGGCCCTCGGCCGCCGGGACAGGGCCGGGGGACGCGGCGACTCGCGCGCATCTCAGGACAGATCGGGGCTCGGGAAATCCCCCCGTTCCCCAAGCTTAAAAAGGGAGTAGAACCAGAAAGTGCGGGCGGTGGAGGGAAGGGGCACCCGGGCGCCGCCACTCCGCACGGCGCACCCTGCTCCCGCTCCCACGCGCAGAGCCGGCCGCAGCTGTCGCGGCCCGTCGGGCTAGGCTACGCTCGCCGCGCGGAGCGCGAGGGGCGCGGTGGGTGTCTAGCTGGGGGTGCACGGGTGTGTGCCTGAGTTTCCCGGCTCCGGGGACGGGCTCGGGGCAAGGCGTGCGTGGCACCGGGGGGTATCCAGGCGCAGGCATCCCAGTCTTTACGGCCGCGGCCCCGCGGAGCAACCCAGGGGCACCGAGGGGGCACACACTGCCGGAGACCGGAGGGGAAAGTTTGCTCCAAGTCCAAACTTTGGGCTCCAGAGGCGCCCGCTGCAGGCCCCCTCCCGCCGCAGACCCGACCGTGGGCCGCGCGCCCGCCCCGCTGCTCAGCTGGCACCGCGACGCCGGACACCGAAACTTGCGCCGGGCGGCCTGGGTGACCGATTTCTCTGGCCGCGGCGACCGTGGAGAGCGCACAGCGAGGCATGAAGAGGCCGAAGGGGAGGCGATCTGGCCGCCGGCGCGTCCCCCCGCCGCCCCTTTGACTTCTGGAAATCCACCCCCGAGTGCGGCGCCGCCGCCGGAGCCCCCGCCACCCCCGCGCCGGCCCGCAGCCCCCACCCGCCGCGGAGCCGGGCCCCGGTCCTGAGGAGAGCGGCTGAGAGGGGAGGGCTGGGGGAGATGCACGTGGAGCCTGGAGGTGGAAAGTAGGTTTTTTCTTTTTCTGTTTCTTTTCTTTCTTTTTTCTTTTTCTTTTTTTTTTCTTTCTTTCTTTCTTTTCTTTTCTTTTCTTTTTTTTTTTTTGGTGCTGGTTGTTGTTTTAAAGTGGCGGAAACAAGGCAGGAGGCGGCTTGGGGAAAAGTGGAGCAGAAATGGAAAAATACAAACTCACCCGCTGCAAATGGTCTCTCGGTGCAAACTAAGGTGTTTTCGGGCCTTTCCCCGCGCGCGCCCACTCCCGCCCGCGCGCACCCCCGTGCACACACTCCCTCGCGCACACACGCGCGCACACACGCACTCCGGGCGAGGGCCGGGCCGCCGCGAGTACAGCATGCAACCGCCACACAATAAATAACAATAGATTCCTCCGCTCGGGACTAGCTTCCCGGAGCCCGGCCAGCGCCGGCGGAGGCAGGGGCGCGGGCAGCGCCGGGCCGGGGGCCCCAGCCCGCACCCCCGGCCTCCTGCCGGGCCCCCCTCCGCCTCACGCACCCCAAGGCCCCCCGCACCCCTGGACCGCCAGCCGCCACCCCCGTCCCCCGGGCCACTGGGCCGCCGGCGCCCACCGCGCTCCCCCAGGCCTCCCGGAACAAATAAATAAATAAGGCGCGCGAGAGAGGCCAACACGTCGCGGAGGGAGATGTTGTTATTTTTTGCTGTTGTGCGTCCCTGACGTCACATCCACCTGCTGGGTAAACAAGGCTCGCAGCGAAAAAAAAAAAATCGCAATTGCCAAAGCGAGGGGGGCGGGCGGCTCAGGGGTGGGGGGTGTCCAGGGAGATGGCGACGAGGGGCGTCCAGGCTGGCTGGGGAAGAGGGGAGGGAGCCGAGCCCCGCAAGCTAGAGAGGAAGGGAACGCCAGAGCAGTCCCTGGCAAACGAGGAATCTGGCAAGAAAGACCTGGAAAAATGAGGGGCATGGGGGAGGGGTGGATCCTTAGAAGATGGGGAAAGGCGCGGGGGGGCCCATTCAGACACCGGGAAGAACGAGAAGGAGAGCGTTAACTAGGGACGGAGATGGGAATGCGATGGCTATTTGCTTAGTTTCTGAGCTAAAAATACAGAAGGAAGCAGAGAGGACAGGCAAGGATGTGAGTTTCCTCCAGTTAAAAGTGAAAGCGTTTTGCCATCAGTGACAGTTGAAGAAGGGGGAGGTGGGGCGGTGTTTTCAAACCCCTTTCTCCTCTTCCCGTCCTCCTTTGGTCTCTCCTTTCTTTCTGCACTTTGTCCAATGAAAGAAGGCGAGTTCGGGAGGTGAAAGTTCAACAGAAGGACAAACCCCTGCTTGCAAGGAAACAGAAACCCGCCGGCGAGGGGGTCTTCCCCCTGTGTTTCTGAATCAGGAGAGTGTAAAAGTGGGACGGGCTTCTCCCCCCTGCCCTGTCAGAGTCATTGCAGGAATGTGTAGTTAGCTCCACTTTGGGGGAAAGTGGCTGCAGTAAGAGCTGTGTACTTGCCCTGGCTTCTCTAACGAAACCGCCCAGGGGCTAGCCTGTCAATCAGTTGTTTTAACACAAAGTACCTGCTCTCCCAGAGATATGTCACATGCAGAAAACTGCGTCTCATTCTTTGAAAAGGTGAGGTTTTTTTCTTTTTTCTTTTCTTTTCTTTTTTTTTTTTTTTTTTTTTTGCTGTTCTAAAGTTTGGTGGAATTTAGACATTTTAAGGAGGAAATGAAGAACATGAATGAAATGTTTTGAAATCTACATATGCATGTATACAACAAAAGACACTAGTATTTCTCAGGATTTTATCAACACAAATGCAGCAGACTTTTTGTGTCCAAAAATGTGACTTAGAAAGGTATAGGGCTCTATGGCTTGTTAACAGAAGTAATTTTTTTCAGACCCGGCATCCCAGACGCTGCCAGACTTCCAAGCCAGCATTTTCAGCTACTGACTGGATAGTACATCCAGCCAACTCTTCATGACAATATATTGAAAGCCATCCCTGTGGATTCCTACAAAATACTTTGGGGTTAGGGATGGGGGTGTGGAGAGTACTGTCCCATTGGTCTTGAGACCAGCACAGTGGTAGGTAATGAATATTCTGAAAATGTTAGTATAAATTCTTTTTCAAGTCTTTTTAGAAATGTTGTTAACCATTCATTTACAGAATTTAAAGTCTCAATTTCAGTAACAGCAAAAGACTACCCTTTGAAAACTGTATCTGTTTTGCAAGTAAAAAAATAACAAAGCTATTAACTGTTGTTACAGAATAAAGCCAGAGAAAGGAAGACTGTGGTAAGGTAATTCCGTCATAGAATTCATGTTAAATGCATGTTGTGCAAGATTCCATGCTATCCCGACAAGAACATCCATCAGATCTTTAGACTAAAATCTAGATTAAGAAAATGCACTTGAGTTCATATAGAACTTCCCTATCCTCCTAGAGGCTGGGGTTCATGTTGTCTATGACACCAGACATTAGGAAAGACATTAATGACACACCTCCTATGTTCTAGACCATATAACAGGCACAAAGGAATGCAAAAATAAATAAAATCCCTGCCCTTAAGAAGCTCATAGTCTATAGCTGTCAGTAATAACATCTAATATTTATCGAGTGCTTACTATGACCTAGGCACTAATGTAGAAGCTTTATGTCAACTTAGGTAAAACTTTCAACCCTTTAATGTCACTGCAAATTCGATATGTAGAATTTCATGTGAATTCACATTCACGTGGCGGTGGGGGGCGGGGGAGGCGGCAGTATTGTTTTTCATTTCTAAAATGCTTGCCAGATATAACATGCTTATGGTGTATGTCAGATTGCAGAATTATAACTCAGGTGAATAGCAGCTTATTTCAATGTGACCAATTTATTCACAGCCTTTAAGGAAGGATTCATGCTCTGACCATGTTTTTCAGACTGAACAGTGAGTTTTTAAAAAATTATTAGTATTGCCATACTAAAAAGATCTTCAAATGGCTAATCTCACTGTGCATTTTAAGTGCCATAAACTCTACATTCACTTGAATGTGGGGGTCAAAGTCAGACTGGCAACAAGTTTTTGCCGACAAAAGGAAATCCTGGTTGTAAATCCTGTGATATATTGTGCCCAATTTTGTATATAATACTGTCTAATGTGCCACCTTATTAAAGAACTCCATGTCCATTTGGCTTACATTAGATGGAAACTTAACTGCAGCTTAACATATTGTTCATTTTCAACACTGTCACGTTACATTCACAGGGAGCATATTTTAATTTCTTTATCAGTAATCAACTAGAAGTTTCTTTTTGTTAAATTAAAGCAAGAAGGGATTTTTAAATAAAGGGCATGGGGGTAGGACGCCACCTTTTGGTGGTAAAACAAATGGAAATCCCTTTTTAAACATGTTCCTGACATTTCGTTTTTAATTACACCAAGGCAAAGGTGCTTGTCCCCATTTCATTATATTTTAAGAGGGAAAAATAATTCTAAGTGCAAAATTAACAAACTATACTTAACTGCAGCCAAAATTTCCCCAAAGGTATTACAACATGCAGTCCCTGTCACATAGTCTATGATGGCAAATTCCAACTCTGTTTCTGCAAATACTGTGTCAATGAATATATGCACATTTGGGGGGACAGAAACTGAAGTGGATATTTACCACATAATGGGATACCTGAATGCTCTTCTAAGTTTAGAGTTAAACAGAAACCTTAAAATCACCTAACTCAGCATTTCTTAAACTACAGTTAACATCTTCCTAATTTCTGCCATAGCTACAGAACATGACAGTTCCTGAGTGATTAACATACTACACTCATTGCAGTAAAGTTATTATGATAATTGTACTATTTTCTTTTATATCAATCTACTTTTTTTTTCCTATTACTACCTTAAACAGGAAATCAGTATTGCCTTCCATAAATTAAAAATCCACAGGGAAAATACAGTCATTGGCTTCTCTTTGTTAGAAAAGGAGAGCAACAAAATATTAAAAGTAATTTTTACAAAACGGAGAGAGTCAAGTGCTGACAAGTGTTAAGGACATGAGTGTCAACAGAGAATTTTGTTTTTTTCTTTGTCTCTTTGAACAACCAGAAGGATTGCAGAGAAAGTCTAGTCCTCCATATATGATTCAATGTTACCTAATGCCATCCCAGTGGTATAAGACCCCTCAGCTTTGAGAATCCGTTACAACCAAGTAGATCAAATTACAGATTAGGAAACTGAGGCTCAGGGAGGTTATACCGCCCTCTGAGGCCAAATAATTGGTGAGTGGCTGGAATAAAGGTGTCCTGACTCATGTGTTTGTTTATTTCCATATCACACTTCTCACTTTACAATAGTGATGTGACCACCCCCTCAGACATTACATGTTCTACTTGGTTTCTCAGAAACAGCCAACTTGCATAATATCCCTCTACAGACGGGAAAAACTAAGGCCACAGAAGGTCAAGATCAAACTCAACCCCTTAGTCACCCTCTCCTCTCCCCCAGGTGGGACAGACTCCAGGTGGCAGTAAACACAGCTGAGAAAGGAGGGGCGGGTTGAGAGGAGACTAGGGGGAAGGGAGAGGTCAGACTCTAAGTAAAAACTTACACTCCCAAGTTTCCCTTCTAGAAGAGAAAAATGGCCAATGACAATCATGTGTTTCTCAGTGGCAAGAGTATCCTCTATGTTCCAATGTCCCCGTATGTGCACACCAGAAATCAACAGAGGATCTCTTGTTTTAGAGTATACAATGTCACCAGGCACATTTGATGTGGTTTGAAAAGTTAGTGAAGGTATGGTGAAAGATCCCAGCTTTAAAAGTGTCATTCCCAACACCAGAACTTGTTCACAGGCTCAGCAGTAAAACTAGAGACAAGAGTGCATTTTCTGAGGTTTTAACCACAGAGAGGGCCTTAGTTCCACAGACTGCATTTCCTGCTTTTTTTTTCTTTTAAGGGCACAGTTCTATAAACATAAATAAACATGGCCTGCAAATATTTTTATATTTTTCTGAATCAGTCCTTGGGAAAAGAGGTCGCTGCTAAGTGTACATATAGCTGTTTGCCCCATGGTTCCCCATGGATCGTATTCCCTGTAAACTACAATGCACAATAAAGTGTCTGGCCAGTATGTACAAACTTCACAAAGCTATTCTAGTCTTCTAATCCCTGACCATTCACATTGCAACAAGTTGGTAATTTGGAGCTATATCAAGGGAATATGAGAGGCTCAGTTCTACCTGCCACAGGCACTAGAACAATCTACAACCTTGCTATGCAATATGAGATGTGCAGCCATGCAGCCTGGGCACCACCTGAAAGTATGTTAAACATGCAGAATCTCAGCCTACTCCCTAGATCTGCTGAATAAAAAATTTGTATTTTAACAAAACTACCTAGCCGAGCCTCACACATTCAAATTTGGCACACACGGATCTGCGGTACACACAGCCCCTTCCACAACAGGTACCATCTCGATAATCTTTGCAGCCTTAAAACTACTTGACAGTCCTGCAAGCTGTCTACCATACCTGGT